CATCAAGAACAAGATCATGCTATAACTTCACATGTATAATGGGTATTCATATTTCTTCCCTTTTCAAAGAGTAGGGGAAGGGCTAGAGGGAGAGAATTTGGAATAAAATAAAAATTAAACAAATTTTAAAAAAACAAGTCATGCTAAACCAGCCTCATTTCCCTTTTTTTGACAGGATCATTAAACCAATAGAGCAGGGAAATTCTATAGATATAGTTCACCTGGATTTTAGCAACATTTCTTATGAAGTATATCATATTATACTGATAGACAAGATGGAAAGGTATGAATTAGGCAATAATACAAACCAGATGGATTGACATGAAGCAGACAATAATACTAATTTATAGATTCAGAATGGCTGGATTAAAATATTAGTTATTAATGTTTTTGTATCAATATGGCAGAAGATCTCCAGTGGAGTACCCCAGGGATCTGGGCTAGGCCCTCTGTTGTTTATCATTTTTATTAATGATCTGGATAAAGTCATAGATGATGTAAACTCATCAGATTTGCAGATTACACAAAGGTAAGAAGGACGGCTAACATATTAGATGACAGACACGATCCAAAGGGATCTAGAAAAGCTACAGAATGGGGCTGAGTATAATAAGATGAAATTTAATAGGGATAAAGGTTAAAAAAATTCAGTTTCAGAAGTTTAAGATGTAAGATGAAGAAGGCATGGTTAAATATCAGCTGTTCTAAAAAATATCTTGGGGTTTTAGTAGATGGAAAATTCAATTTTTTTTACTTTCCTTTATATCCCCAATGTTTGGCATGGGGTCTGACATGTAACAAGTTCTTAATAAATGCGTGTTAACTGGCAAAATGAGGTAGAAAGTGACATGGCAGCCAAAAAAGCTAATGACATCTTGGGCTACAGGAATAGGGAACAGTCCCACAATAATCATCAGACCTCATCTGGAGTGCAGTACTGTATTCATTTCTGGGAACCATGATTTAAGAAATACACCAATAAACTGGGGAGTGTCCACAGAACAGCAACAAGGATGATGAAAGGCCTTGAATCCATGACGTATGAAAAATAGTTGAAGGAACTGGGCATGCTTAGCCTGAACAGAATACCCAGAGGGTACATAATATAATAACTATCTTTCAAGTGTGTGAAGGGCTGTCATGTGGAGGAGAGATGAGACTTGTTCTGTTTGGACCCAGAACCAGTAACAATAGATAGAAGCTGTAAAGAAGAAAATTTGGGCTTGAATTCTGAAAAAACTTCCTGAAAATGAGAGCTGCCCAAAAGTATAATGGCTGCCTTGAGTTCCCCCTCCTCTGAGGTCTCCAAGCAAAGGATAGATGACAACTTGATGGTACGTTATAGGAAGGCTTCCTTTTGGCTATCGATTAAACTGGATATCCAACTGAGGTTCCATCCAATTCTGTGATTCTATCACTCTCACTTTTTTATTTTTATCCCCAGGGTCTAGGATAGAGACTGGCATGTGGGCACGGCAGAGGGATTAGCCTTATTCTGCTTGGCCTCAGAACAGAACTAGGACCAATGAGTGAAGATAAAGAGGCAAACTTTAATTCAACATGAGTAAAAGACTTCCTAATAACTAGAACAATATAAAAACTCAAATTAAGATCTCCTTGGGACACAGAGAATTCTTCTTCACTGGAGATCTTCAATCAGAAGCTAGGTGATTATTCTAGAGCTGTTTTAAAAGAGATTTCCATTCATCTATGAGTTAGATTAAATAATCTTTAAAATTCAATGAATCATTTATCCTAGAACAAATTGTAAAGATATTAATTGGATTCCACGGAAGGTCCACCAATTCCATTTTTTTATTCATTCCTTTCATTTCTCATTCTAGACTTTTTTTTTTTAAACAAAGAACTTAGTGCTCCTTTAATTAGTCTCAGCCCCATGGGCTATGCAAATACACTCAAAATCTTTGGTGCCATAAGATAAAGTAGTATTCTTTCTGAATTTATATCTTCCTGAGGAGCCTGAGTTCAATGCACTCAAATACAGCTGAAGCATTCTCACAGCAAGATCAATTTTCCTAAAGTGGGTGGGTGGGTGTGGGTGTGTGTGTCTCTCTCTAAAGGACATACAGTACTCAAATATTTAAATGATCTTATGATTTGGGTGTTCCCTCCAACAATGCAGATTGCAATGCGTATTTATTCCTACCATTTCAGTGCTACTCTCATCCCTGTCCTCAAATAAGTCTGCCACAGGAGGGGTTAGCCCCTGGACCAGGAAACTTTCCTCAATTTTTCCTGTCATCACCAAGGATAGCAGTGGGCCAACACCTGGCCTGGAACAGAATACGAGAACTGAAAGGGAACTCAGCGGTCAACTAGTCTAACTCCCTCTGACAAACATACATTTCATTTTATAGAATTAGAAATAGAGGTGCAGAGCAGTAAAATCCCCCCACGTAACCTCTCTATATTCCATTTCATTAAAAGCCATTTTAGTCATAGTCATAGTCGGTCAACATTTATTAACTGCCTACTATGTGCCAGGCACTGTGCTAAACTGTGGGGATACAGTTTTTAAAAGGCAGTCCTTGCCCTCAAAGAGTTTATAATCTAAAGGGGTGAGGTGGACTGCAGAAAGATAATACACTCTAGGTCAACAATAATCATCTAGTTCAGGCACAGGGGCAGGATTTAAATGAGTAGATGAACTTCCTTCTCAGGGCCTGAGATTGTGAAAGACTGGAATAAAGAAATCTACATCTCAGATGCAGTGCGGGGAGTACTGGTCCAGATGGTGAGGAGGAGCAGGTTAGTAGCAGCAAGCCGAATAACATGGTTCAAGTGTGCACTCAGGCTGGACAGAATATGAAGCTGAAGCTGAGGGAATCTATGTTTTCTTAGACGTGCTCAGGTCATCTTTTCTACCAGACCACAAGCTTAAGCGCAAGAAGCATGTCTTTTATGCCTCTTTTGCACTCCTTCCCCACAGTGCCAGACTCCGTTCACCACAACAATCATTAAATTGTATATGTTCTATACAGGGTAGCTAGAAAGTCCTTGTTGCTTTCAAAAAGTAGCTACCCTTCTACCAAGTATAAAATGTTAAGAAATAGTAGATACCTGAAAGATAGATTATCTAGTACAATCTCTTCACATTTCAGATAAGAAAATTGATTCAGAGAAGGGACTTTGGCAAAGGTCACAGGAATACAGAGAAGTGCCTTTTCCACTAGATACCTTGTTGCCTCTCTAAGAGGCTAAAAAGCTGTCCTGACAGTCGCTCCTCTAACTAAATCCCACATCTGTTGTACGTACCCAAACCAGAAGCCCTACAGACTTTCAGGGACCAAAGGTGAAGGTATATAACCAGTAAGTTTCTGTATATCTATACCTCCCTAAAAGCAGGGTTGAAATGAAGGTGGCCCAACAGGACACCCGTGGAATAATGGGTGTATCAGTTGCAAACGATGACGATTCTGGAACCAAAAAGCACAAAATCAGGCCAAGAAGAAACAGCAAACACCTACTGCTTGGGCAGAATTATCAAATAGGCAAAGTCTACTCAGTGCCACCTACATATCCCTTTCTGAACTCTTCTCACATCCTTTTAGCACTTTATTCCCACTCCATGTGCCGAGTTTTCTTATCCATGTAAGCTGTCACCAATATAAAAGATGGAAATAATTTGACAAATTTACTCACACTATCATGTCCAGGAATTAGGCAGAAAGAAAATGCTTAGCTCAAAGAAATGCTTATTTGGTACAACAGTGAATGAGAAAAGATTAAATTTTTCCTGAGAACTCCAAGAGGCAGAGGTCTGAACTAATGTTTAGAATATTGGAAAGTTAGATGATTAGAAATTCGGAAGCAGAGCAGTAACTCCCCTGTTTTTAAAACTGAAAATTTTAAGACATTTCTTTGGTCTAATAAAAAGCACTTTCCAAACTTCCCTGTTTAAAGATGGGATAGAATTAAAAGGCCTTTTCATAAAGTCCTCTAGATGTGATCATTGCCTTCCCTTCTCCCTCTGGGGCCCAATGCACAGCACACAGTAAGTACATGTTAGCTATCATTATTATTATTATTATTTATACAAGTGTCCAGCACAGAGAAGTGAATTTGATTGAATGTTAGTAGATGTGTTCACACAATGACTAGATGACCAAATCTTAGAACTGTAAGGGAATCTAGAGATTATCTCATCTCTCATTTTCATATAAGTAAACTTAAGGCCCAGAGAAATAGGTGATTGTCCACACTCATGTAGCTACTCTCCTTTTCTACCCTGTATTCTCATTCTTTTTTTCCACTTCACTACTTCAGGCACAGACCTTTCAAAGGTTTACAACTCTTCTGCAACACACGGCCCACTCCCTCCCACTAGATACAGAATGCAGTTCACAATCCAACTGTTTACATGAAAATGTAAGTTCCTTGATGGCAGGACCTTTTTTCCCTTTCTTTTTTCCCATTCCTTTCTTGGTATTCCCTCTGCACACTGACATTCTCGTAGATCCTCACAAAGCACACTCCATCTCTGTTCTCCCCATCTTTATACTGGCCGTGCCCTCAAGCCTGGAACGCTCATCCTCTCCACCTTCATCTATTCTTTTCCCTGACTTCCATCATGAAGATGAAGCTCAAATCTCAATTTCTGCAGGCGACTTTTCCCAGCCCTCCCAAATGCAATTGCCTTTCTCTCTTAAAATGACTTCTCATCAACTCTGCCTAAAATGTGCATGTCCCTGGTTACATACAAGATTTATAAGCGGTCTCCCCGTTGGAATGGGAGTTTCTTGCGGGCAGGGACTGCACAGGCCTTTCTTTGCAAACCCTACCCCCTTCCCCAACGCTGAAAACACATAGTAAACACTTAATAAATAAAATGCTGCCAGGAGTTGCTTTGGAACAGAGGGTGGTGCCTTCCTTCCCTTGCCAGCCTATGGAGAGACAGAGCAAAGTATGACGTTGCAGCCGCGCCCCTGGACGAAGAGCGATTGGAAGGCTCAGCTGCCTCTCTCCTTTCTCCCCTCCCTCCAGGGCCGCGCAGGGGGAAGCTTCTTCCTGCCGGGACTCAGCCTAGGATGATCCTTCCTCTCCCGGCGAGTCACAAACCTCACCAACCCGCAGAGAGGAATGTTCGTGGGATCGCGGAAACGGGCCTTCGAGACCATCTACTACAACCCCTTCACGTCTGACAGAGGAGGAAACTGAGGCTCGGAGAGATTTAGTGACTTTGCCAACATCACCCAGGTAGGACGTGGAGGCGAGATTCGAACCCAGGTCTTGGTACTGCGGCTCCAGCGCTCTTTCCACGACAGTCCACACCGCCGACTTAAGTAAGCACCCTCTCGGCAGACTCCTCCGCTTCCCTCCCGGCCTGTCTAGGACCTTTTTTTCTTCTTTTGCCTGGCTCCGCGCCCAGTCACCATAGTGACACTATCTTCCGTTCCCAAGTCGCCAACCACTCACCTGAGTGACGAGCCCCGAGGCTAAGCATTCGGCCAACAGCAGCCCCGCGGCGGTTGGGGAGGTCTCCGGGACCCAAGGGTTGGCAGCCGCCATGCCTCCGCTAACCGTCTTTCCTTGCCGGGGGGCCGGACAAAAACGAGGCTCAGTCTCCGGGCGCGCGCGCCGCGGAACCCAAACGGCGGCAGCCTGGGCCAACCGCGCAGGCGCGTGCCAGTGACGTCATAGGGCGTTCCGAGGCCCGGCCGGGAAACAGGCTCCCGCCCAGGGGCGGGGTCCCCGGCGTCACCGGGCCGAGGCCTGAGTGCCCGGGCCGGAGGCCGCCGGGGCTGTGAATCCGGAGCTTCTAGCAAGCGCCGGACTTCCGGGGAGCTGCGGAGGGCGGTAGGGCCCAGCGGGTGGGCAGGCGGGTTGGACGGGCCCCAGAAGGGAGGCCGCCGCGCCCCCTCGGGCCCGGCGGTGACCGCAGCGGCTTCTCTCGCAGGGCGAGTGAGGCCGGGGCTGGCTGGCCGGCTGCAGCGGCTGCAGGATGGGGAACAGCGCCCTCCGCGCCCACCTGGAAACGGCGCAGAAAACGGGCGTGTTTCAGCTCAAGGACCGCGGGCTGACGGAGGTGAGACCGAGCCCGGGGCGGGGAATGGAGCCCGGCCGGCCCCGGGAGGCGGCGGGGAAGCGGGAGGCTGGGCTGGGCCGGCCCGCGCTGCGACCACCCCCTTTCTCCAGTTCCCCGAGGAGCTGCAGAGGCTGACGAGCAACCTCCGGACCATCGACCTGTCCAACAACAAGATAGAGCACCTCCCGCCTGCCCTCATCGGGAAGTTCACGCTGCTCAAGAGCCTGTCCCTGAACCACAACCGACTGAGTGAGTGGGGGTGGGGAGGGGCCCCGGCCGCGCCCCCGGAGCCCCACACCACGCTCTCCCCGGGCCAGACCGCCTGTGGCTGAGTACTGCCCTCCAGGGCTGGGGATGAGATGAAGAGTGTCTCCGATGAGACTTGAAATCTGTTTTGTAACAGTCCCCTGGTATAAAGGAGCACCCCTCCCCCAAGTAAGGTTCCCCTTACTTGCTTTAACAGGGCTCCCAGTGCCCTACCCCCTCGGTGTAGGTTGAGTCCTTGCCCCTGTACCTAGTGAATGTCTAAGGAGAGACCCTCGGCCCAGCCAGAGACGTTGGGGAGAACAACCCCCTTAATAAGTATGCATGCTGAGAATAGTATGCAAAACAGTGGGAATTAGTACAATGCAAAGCTTTATTGCAAGGAGTGGGGAAGAGGGAAAAGGATGACTCGGGTATAAACGCTAACAGTACAACTGGTATTATGGCAGTGCTGCCTTGGAGAGCTCAGAAACATGGGTTCCATCAGCAGGAAATGGTGTCCCAGTTGGAGAGAAAAGGGTCTGTTCCAAAGGCTCCTTTTTGAGAGTGGAGTTCTTATATGTCAGGGTCAAGGCAAAGTATTATTTTGGGAGTTTGGGAGAAAAAATAAAGCTGGTGGTAGACAAGATATTATTTGGGGGACACAGCTGAACCTTCAAAAAATGTTGTCAGCATTTTCCATGTTCTTTAAGCTTACAGCTTCCCTTAAGGGTAGATGATCAAGCTTGATCTTATAATAATGGTTTGCATGCATAGATTCTATAAGCTACAGCCTCCCTTAAGGGGAAAAATGTCATGGTAGTCTGAAGACCACTAGGCCCAACCTTATAACAATAGCACTAGAAAAATTGGAACTATTAAAAAGAAAAGGATACAGAATTTACTAAGGCCACACACATGGGATTCTGCAACTCACAAAATTACCTTTAAATCAGCACCAAGTGTTTGTTAAGAAGGTGCAAGCACTGTGCTAGGCCCTGGGCATAAAAAGAGGGGAAGACATCCCCTGCCCTTAGTCCAGTGGGGGAGACAATGTGCAGTTATGTATAAACAAGACATATCATTAACACTGAGAAAATTTCAGAGGAAAGATATTAGCATGTAAAGGAGATGGAGGATGCAGAATGTGGGACTTTAGCAGAAGATTCAAGGAAATCAGAAGGTGGAGCTGAGGTGGAGAGAGGTCTGGGTTTGATTAGTCTTGTTCAAGGAACAGTAAGTAGGTCTGTGTAGTTAGGTCATGAGTAAAGAGAGTCAGGTATAAGAAGACTGGACTGGTAGGAGGGGTCCAGGTTACAAAGGTCTTATCAAACACCAGAGGATTTTATATTTGATCTTGCAGGTAAGAGGTAGCCACTGAGCTTTGAATAGAAGTTTGTGACATGGTTAGATGTGTGCTTTACGAAGCTCTCACTGATGGACTGGAATGAGGAGAGAGTTGAAGGCAGGGAGAAGCCATTGCAGTAGTTACACAGTAATTACCCCTTTAATGCCATTGTGTCCTTTATTTTCCATGTGACCTTCCAGAGGGAAATATAGCAAAATACAGTTTTTGAAAAATAGCACAGCATGGGGGTGTTCTAGATCAATTAAGAGAAAATTTATTGGCAAGGCAGTCTGCAACAGAATCTTTGAAAGCTTTTTGAAATTGGTCCTCCTCTGCATCACATTGAATTGTTTCTGATTATCTTTGCTAGCTGTTCTGCCAGAGGAGCTATGCAAGTTGACAAAGCTAGAGACCCTACACCTTAACAACAATCACCTGACACAGCTGCCAGCTGCTTTTGGGCAATTGTCTGCCCTCAAATCTCTGAGCCTCTCTGGGAACCAGCTTCGAGCTGTACCATCTCAGCTTTGTAGCCTTCGACACTTGGATGTGGTAGATCTCTCCAAAAACCAGATTCAAAGTGTACCTGACACAGTAGGAGAACTACAGGCTATTGAGCTGAACCTCAACCAGAATCAGGTTTGTAACTTAGACACGCAGATGAGTTTATGGACTTTTGAATAAGCCCTTTTCCTCTTTTTGTGGCTCTCTGAGAGAGAGAAAAAGAGAGATCTTGTGTGTGTCTGTGTCTGTTTCTGTGTCTGTCTGTGTGTGTGTCCGTGTCCATCCCTTAACTCAGAGGGCCATTATTTGCACACAGCTTAGGATCAAGTTAACAGGACTGAATCCTGTGAGCAAGGTTTATGTTAAAGCCCAAGCAACCATTTAAGTTCCTATTGTTCTCTAAAGTTTAAGTGAGGTGGTGGTAAGAGGTAAACTGTCTTTTCATGAATCTTGGTAGACTCCTCAATCTGCCTGTTCTTACCCTGAAAGATTCCCTGACCATTTGATCCCAGAACCTTTTAATAGGAACTGGGAATTCAGGCAGAACATCCCCGTTCTAGCAGTTTTGATAAGGACTATGCAACAAAAAAAGGTGGAAATTTTATGGAAGATGTGACTGATTATCTATGGAATTGTTTGTTGTAAGACTTCACCTTTGAAGGTGAGGTACAGAGATGTCATTTCACAGTTATTTTGACATCTCTTCTTGATATGGTCAAAAGGTGTAATGTTGAAATGAGAGGAGTTATACTGAATTGCCCCCTTGTACTTCTCCAGTGACTGAACCCCTCCATGCTAAGAGGTTATCCCTTATAAATATATCATTGAGCTGCCAGGATTTAGAGGCTTTTTTTGGGACTCTTCATGGCAGAGATTAAAGGATTAGCTAATTAAGCCATGGGTGTTTGGTTGAGTTTTCCTGTTTGTGAGGGGCCTGTGTCTATGTATTAACCCCTCCCCTACTAGCTGCTAGTACTTTGCCATCCAAATATGTGTGTAAATGTCTCCCTCAATAAAATGTAAGCTTCTTGAGGGGCTGTTTCATTTTTATGTTGTATCCCTGTACCTAGTATATATACCTAGTCTGGTATATTCTGGGAACTTAATAAATGAATGCTTATTGGTTGATTTGCTCTTTAGGGTCATTTCCTATATCAAATGTTAAAACCCAGTAAACCAGCATCCCTTTCAGTTGCTCTGAATTGGCACATCTGAAAAACCTGATCTTAGAGAATTCTGAATGTCTTGGAGTGTTTGGTACAGGAAGTTAAGGCTCCTGGTTATACTCTTCTTAGCTCTACTACTGTCTGACTCTGTACCCATGTGACCTTGACAAGTGCATTAACTTCTCTGGGCCTCCATTTCTCATGTGTAAAATAATGGGTTGGACTATGGATATGTTTGTGAGAACTCAGGTAAATAGAGATGGCCCCTCTACTCATCTCCCTGTCAGAAATGGGTTCTTTCACAGAGCTGAAAAGTGCTTAGTTGGAGGAACTTCACTGGGGACAAAGCATTCTCACCCTTGCCTCACAGAAAAATGTTTGTCTGGGTTTTTTTTTGTTTGTTTTTTTAAGCTTTGTTTCAAGGTTGGTGGACCAACCTCTGCCTATTCTGAGGAAAAATGGTGATATTAATGCAGCATTCTGAGTTTTGAGATCTTCAGGATTTTGTACTCCTGAGAGGCAGCTAGGTGGCACAGTGGATATAGCTTGCTGGCTTTGAAATCAGGAAGACCTGAGTCTTCCAGTCACTTAACCTCTCTCTGCCCCAGTTGCCTCCTTTGTAAACTGGAGATCCTATAATAAATAACACCTATATCCCAGAGTGTTTGTGAGGATAAAGTAAGATATTTGCAAAGCACTTCCAAATCTTAAAGCACTAGCTTTAAGTGCTACCAGTCACCTATATTCCATTTCAAATCATTGCTATGTTAATATCTTCCCTAGCCTTAGCAAAGCATCTTTCACTTAGTAGGTGCTCGATTTTTGAGCACCTTTTGAATTTTGATTCAGTCACCAAGTAAGTTTATGAAGCAATTGTCATGTGCTTAGGACTGTGCTGAGTGATTTAGGGGATGCTAAAGAAATAATCTGTAAGCTAATCATGTAGTTGATGAGTTAAAACTTACTATATGAAAGAGAGAGCAATTAGTGACTGAATTTTGCAGGAGAGACCAAGTTCTGTAGGAATTCATAGGAATTTGGTTGTGAACAGGAGTGGAATGTCCTAAGAGTAGAAAGAGTGCTGTGTCTGGAGTCTCAGGCCTCTGGGTTCAAGTCCCAGCTTAGCTACACTGGACAGCTGTTGACCTTAGTGACGTCATGTAACTTTTCTGAGTCTTTGTTTACAAGGGTGGAAGGTGATATTTGTGGTCCTGTGGGATGAGAAGAACCTGAAGGATAGATGGGATTTGGATAGGTGGGATGGGGGAGGAGGGTAGGGAAAAGAGGACATTCTGCAATATAAACTCAAGCAATGAAAGTAGGAATGAACCTAGCATGTTTGTGGGGCAATGAAATGTCCAGACTAAAATGAAAAATGTTTTTAGAGGATAGTAAGTAGCAAATAAAGTTGGAAAGGGCCAAAAGTGGAGGGATTTGTAACTCATGTTACAGAGTTTAAACTCATTGTGGTGGGAAATTAGAAACTACTGAAGCTTTTAAACAAGAATGACAAGATTAAAGCCAACTTTAAGGAAAATTACTCTGACATCACTATGTAAAGATGGATTACAGGGAATAGATTGCTGGTGTCAGAGGGTCTTCTCGGAGGAGTTTTTAGAGTAATATAGTTGTATGGTGATGAAGCAAAGATGACATCAAGGTTTAGAACACGGGTGACAAAATGTGGTACTGTTGACAGAGGGATATTGGAGCTTGTTTTAAGCTTATTGAGTGAGTAAAAGACCTGACTACAGGCAAACATATGTCGTAAAACGTATCCAAGTTTGAAGAGGCCAGTCACGAGAGCTGGAAGGGATTTGGGGATCACCTAATCTAACACCCTGACTTTTACAGGTGAGGAACCTGAAGTCCATATAAATGACAATGACAGGCAGCAAGAAGTAGAAAGTGCAAACTTGGTGCATGGTGAGCACACATGTACACCAATAAGTGTGAGAGAGAGAGACAGAGAGAGAGAGAGAATGATAGATCATAAGAAAATATAAAGATGAGCAAAACACCAAAGACTATTAAGAAATGCTGGTAAGTGGCCAGAGGAAGATGACCCAGTGAAGGAAACAACTGAGAGTAATAATAAAATAATAGCTGCTATCTGCATTGCACTTTAAGATTTGTGAAGCACTCAGTGCACATTATCTCACTGGGCTCTCAACAGTATCCCCTTGAGGGTATCCTCTCTGTCTTTGGCTTTTCTTGGTTTTCCTGCTACCTGTCTGATCACCCCTTTCATTCTCCTTCAGTGGCTCATCTTCCTCCAACCCCAACCAAATGTGGGTGTATCAGATTGTCCTAGGCCTTCAGTGATCTTCTTTTGCTTTTATGGATTAAATTCTGTGCAAATAGCTTTCAAATCTGTATCTATATAGACATACAGATATCCAACCCTAATTTCTCCTTCTGAGATCTAGACTCACACTCTCTGGTTGCCCACTTAGATTTCTTTCTAATCGAATGGCCTTGTCATCTCAAACTTAACCTGTCCAAAATAAAATTACTCAATTTCCTCTCAGAGCCTGCTGATTATTGGGAAAACTTCATCTTCATGCACAATCCCATCAGCCTTTGGTACTGTAGCTTTATCACTACCCTGTGTCCCTCTGATTGGAGTGAACTCCCAAACCTCCATTTAAGGAAGGAGCTCAGCTCAGAATATCTCATTTCTTACCTGGTTAGACTTTCCCCAGCTACACCCTCCCCACCCTCATTTCAGCTTTGTGTGTTGTCTTCTATTAGATTGTAAGTTTCTTGAGGTCAGAGACGCTTACTTGTTTCACCAGCACTTGGTACAGTAGCTGGCATGTTGTAAATGCTTAATGTTTATTGACAGACTTTTACAACTAGACTCTTTCTATTAATGGCTTTCCCATCCTCCCAATCACCCATGCTTTAGAGTTCTCTTTTCAGGGTGGAAGGTGGAGTCACTCAGTTGACAAATCTTGTTGATTCCATCTCTACTTTCATGTTTTATCTCTGCTTATTCCTTTCCACTCACTTGACCACCACCCTAGTTTGGTTCATCATCAGCGCTCACTTGGACTATGGTAGTAATTTCACTGGTCTTCTGTCCCAAATACAACCTTTACATGGCTTTGGTTGCAAAACATCTTCCTAAGGCATGGGTCTAATCATCTCACACCCTTGCTCTCATCAACTTTCCATCGCTCCCTGTTGTCCATTGGGTAAAATAAACTTTCTAGCCTGGTACTTAATTAAGGCCCTCCATAGTCTAGCTATGATCTACCTTTGCAAATCTACTTTTCATGTCTCCTTTACACCATCTGTTCAGCCAAATACTATCTTTTCATCTGTTTCTACACCTTTCCTCATGTCTGGAACATATTCCTTATTTACCTGTAGAAATCTTTCAAGGTCCACCACGTGTTACTTCCATGTAGCCTGGCTTTCTTTGCTCTGTTTTTTCTATCCTCTAATTTTCTAGGAACACTTTATGTGGATTTTTATTTGGTCTGCCTCACATCCTACCTTGTTGAATATTGTTATCTTTTTGTCATATCCTTCCTGCTAGGCTATAATTCTCTTGAAGGTAGTGATTGCCACTTACTGTCTTTCTGTCTCTTATCAAAGTAAGAGACAGAAAGATAGTAAGACCTTATACCCAGTAGTAACTTAATGTTTAAATGAGTGGTTTGAGTGGTTAAGAGAAGAAATCAGGATAGCATAACAAAACACAAACCAAAAATTATGTCAGATGCAACGGAAACATGAAAGAGAATGAGGACAAAGAAACACCATTGAACTTGGCAATAAGGGATTTATCAATAACTGTTGAGAAAGCAGTTTTAGTAGAGTGATAGTGATATAAGTCAGATAAAAGATGGTAAAGAAATGGAGATATCAACCCCCCAAAATGGATCTTTTTTTTTTAAATAGAAATTTTCAGGTAACAAAAATATTTTCTTTCCTTCTACCTCCTCCACCTATTGAAAAACAAAACCCTTGTCACAAGCATGCATAGTCAAGCAGAAATTCATCCCACAAAGAATATTGTAGACCACTTGATTTTGTCAGTAAAATGAAGAGAAATAGTTAGGGTTGTTTGTTTTTTTCAGAAACATTAAACAGGAAATAATTTGTTACTTTCTTGACTTGACAGATTTCTCAGATCTCACCACAGATATCTCGCTGTCCACGCCTCAAGGTCTTGCGCATGGAAGAGAACTGCCTAGAACTCAGCATGCTTCCACGAAGCATCCTCAGCAATTCCCAGATTGCTCTGCTTGCAGTAGAAGGCAATCTTTTTGAAATAAAGAAACTCCGAGAACTGGAAGGCTATGAAAAGGTTTGTGAATAACAATTCAAATGGTTGTTTCTTATCTATTTCCCTACAGAGGGATGCTGAAGTGATCCACATATATTTTCATACCCTGTGTTAATAGGACAAGCTTTTCCCTGTTTTGAAAATAGATTGGAGTCAGCTACATGTATGTTTCTGCTAGGAATTAGTGCCAATGTAGCTTTTTTCTAGCTCTATAAAATAATATTTTGATAGTTTGATTGGTATGGCACTGAATAAGTAAATTAATTTAGGCAGAATTGTCATTTTTATTATATTAGCTCGACCTACCCACGAGCAACTGATGCTTTTCCAATTATTTAGGTGTGACTGTGTGTTAAAAGTGTTTTGTAATTGTGTTCATATAGTTCCTGGGTTTGTTTTGGCAGGTAGATTCCCAAATATTTTATAATGTCTGCAATAACTTTAAGAGGAATTTCTCTTTCTATCTCTTGCTGTTGGGCTTTGTGGGTAATATATAGAAATGTTGATGACAGTGTGCATTTATTTTATATCCTGCAACTTTGCTAAAGTTGAGAATCAGATTCTCTAAGTATATCATATCATCTGCAAAGAGCGATAGCTTGGTTTCTTCTTTGCCTATTCTAATTCCTTCAACTTCTTTTTCTTTTATTGCTAAACCTAATGTTTCTAGTACCGTATTAAATAAGTGGTGATAATGGACATCCTTGTTTCACCCTTGATCTTACTGGAAATGCTTCTAGCTTATCCCCATTACATATAATGCTTGCTGATGGTTTTAGGTAGATGCTATTTATCTTTTTAAGAAGACTCCATTTATTCCTATGCTTTCCAGTGTTTTTTAATAGGAACAGGTGTTGTATTTTGTCAAAAGCTTTTTCTGCATCTACTGAGATGATCATATGGTTTCTATAAGTCTTATTGTTGATATGGTCAATTATGTTGATAGTTTTTCTAATATTGAACCAGCCCTGCATTCCTGGTATAAACAAGGTAGCTTTTTTCTAAAGCTGTAGAATAAACCTAGGTGACTATGATCTTATTCCTAAATGTATCAGTATTCTTTGTTGAATGGGTCAGATCTATGAACTTTAAAATTGGATCTAGAATTGTTAGGAAGAAAAAGGCAAGAAGGAAGTCATCCAATACAAATTTAATAAAATGTTAGGCTTGCTGGAATGCTAAATAAAAAAATTACATGAGACAATTTCATCTCACTGGCCTTTCCCCATTTAAACATTAAAATAATTTTGTTTTTTTTAGTACATGGAGAGGTTCACAGCCACCAAGAAGAAGTTTGCATGATGTTCCCCAGGAGCAAGGCACCTCATAGGAAACACACTTTGAACCTAAGTTGCAAAGTCCAACTGAATAGAAGACTCATGTCATTGGCAAGATCTGCAGTGAGGAAATGATTGAAGGAAGAATGAACACTTGAGTACCAAATGGTGTCTCCCAGAAGCAGATTATGTTGCATCTAACTTTCTCTCCCCTTTCAGGACTTGCTATAAATAAAGCAAAAGAGAAAGAGAAGGGGAGAGGGAGCAAGCTTGAGAGCGTGTTAGAGAGGACACGCCAAGTCCTCAGGCTGAGGGATAATGAAGGCCTATATTTTCACAGCTGTTACCAGTTTCACTTTAAGAAACAAGTAGGTAGCTGCTGTTTTATACACTAAGGGGGCTGTGCCTGGTAACTGCCCTGAGGTTGTATCACTTGTACAGCTCCACACCACAGCTTGAAAGCCCATATTTAATTCTGATGTGTGAGCTGCCATAACAACTACAGATCCACCTCTGCATTTAACACTTTTTGTATTTTTGTGGAACACAAGTAGTTCATGACAAGCTGCTATGATTAATCACAGCATTCAGTGCTTTATTTATTCCAACACATCATTTCAATTGAAAGTTAAAATTCTGCTGCTTTGAGAAAAGTGCTTATTTGCTTGGAACTTAATTATGATATGTGGCAAATGTCTCGATTTAAAATGTGCTTTGCTGGTTTAAAAAAACCAAACACTTAGGACATAAGCCCCAAGCTGCATCAAATTCATTACTACTATTGTAGGTGCCTTACTGGTGAAGGTACTTGTATGCAAAACATGTAAGATGAAAAGAATTGTAATATCCAAGATTTTTCTAAAGCTTCTTTAGAAATGTCTAATTTCCTGTAACCTTTTACCCTTTTTGTATTATAATTTTACTAATCAAATTACCTATCCAAAAGCTATTGCTACGACAGATTTTCAAAACATCCCATTATATATATTAGGTGTGCTCTCTGCATAAGATGGAAAAAAGGATATGAAAAATAAATAACTTTTTTTAAAAAGATCTTGGGTGGAGTGCAGAAAAAGTTAATTTTGACAAGAGTTAAGAGAGAACAATTGATATGCATTTATATTAACAAAAATGAAACAGCCTCTGCTCTCAAGGAACTTCTATTCTGCTAAGGGAATTATGTACACAAATATATTCAAAGTAAATCCAAGGTCATTTTAGGGGGAGGCATTAACATCTTGAAGAGGATGTCAGGGAAGAGGAAGGAAACGCTTCAGAAAAGAAGCACTTAATTTAAACTTTGAAAATAGCTAGGGATTATAACTTTGAAAATAGCTAGGGATTATATTTCTAAGAGGTCACAGCATAGAGAACAGCCTTTGCAAAATGAGATGAAGTGTTATAAAAATCATCAAATGAGTCCACTTAGACCAGACGGCTCAAAGGGAATAGCAAGCTTGGAAAGGTAGGTGAGAGTTTGTGAAGGAATTTAAGTGCCAAAATGCAATTTATATTTAGCCTTAGAAGTAACAGACAACAGAGAGTTTGATGAGACCAGAGCTGTGCTTTAGAAATATTTCTTCAGCAGCTGTGTGAAGGATAGATTGATGAAAAGATATACCCCACGAGGCAGACCTATTGGGTTATTACATGTATCAAAAGTGCTGCAAGGAACCATGAAACACCATGGATTTTTGTTTTTGTTGTTTTTCTGAGCCTTATGTTAACAGACATTAAAAATAGCTTTAGAGGATTACACTGCAGGGGTTCTGCCAAAGTTTTATTGAAACTGAAAGGTTCTACAACTGGAAAAGTCTGAGAACCACTGGGGTAGTGCAACAGCTCAAATGGAGAGGTGATTTGAACCTAATCTAAGGTCAGTTCAATTGAGAATGGAAGTAAGTTGAGACATACAGCTTACATCCTTGGCAAGAACTGTCACTCAAGTGCCTCAGTATAACTGACATTAAAATAATGTCTGTATGTTAAGGGTGTAAAGCACTCTTCTCATAACAGCCCAGTATGGCAGTCATGACAAGTACTGAGAACAAATTTTTTTCATTTTTCTGGCCTAGCAGTGCTTTGCACATATATAAAGACACTTATTACATACTTGTTGGACTTAATCCAGTGAAGAATCAGGTTAGCAGCCTGTCCAAAGTCCACAGTCAAGTTTCATAGCTAGGATTTTAACCCAGGTTTCCTCCCAAGTCTTTGGCATTTACACCACACAGCATCATGTCAGAATTGTCATCGAGAAAACTTTTAACAAACCAGCACTCCATTCTATCTAGCCAAAGAAAACAAATAGCACTGCATTTACCATAAAGCCTAAGTGGGAGACTGCAAAAGCTTCTAATACTTGAGGAGTCAAGACTATTTTTCTGGTTTGTACAACTACCTCTTTTCTTTGTAAGACTTTATTGTCGTCCTCTGGAATCCCGCAAAAAAAATATAATTCTTCCACTTAAGTCTTATTCTGATGCCTCATCTGGTCATGATGACAGCCATAGGTGGCTAAATGCTCTGTAAGCAGAGCACAAGCTCTAGTAGCAGGTCCTGCCAGATTAGAAGACATTTCCTCTGTAGACTGGTTATAGACCATAATCTATATATATAGTCTGTTATCCAAGCAGCCTACCTAAACTTAGAGTTTATCATTAAGTTTAGCCATAAATGGTACTTCATGAAGATAGTCTACTAAATTTTGCCTAGGAAATGGTTTTGATCTGCCGATGAAGGGGAGTGCCCACAGTGAAATTAAATGCCATCATATGATATGCAATATGTATTTAAATATATTTGAAATAGAGAACAATGTTGTTTTTATATGTAAAAAGCAAGGAACATGTTTCTCTACCACAGTGGGTGTAACATTAGCACAAGCTGAGTATATTAGCTTCCTTTCATGTTTCTTCCTATTCACACTGGTTGCTGGGTATTCTGCCTCAGGTGTTTGTTCTATGTGAAGGTACAATGAAGAGTAGAAGAATCAGACTGAAATAAACAGACTTATTCCCAAATCTCTGATCCTAAAAATATAAGCTAAAATTTTCTCATGGAGGGAGTGTTAGGAATGGTGAGTGGAAAGGGCAGCTCATGAAAACAACAGATTTGGTAATTAAGTATTTTTGAGTATCCGGTTTGGGCAGTGCTAGGTACTACTAGGTGGGCCCAAAGACAGCTCTGCCCTCAGATATTTCATATGGTAGGAGACAGCTTTTCATTTTAGTAATAGCTAGTACTTACATAAGCCATTAAAGTTTGCAAAGCAGTTTCATGCATCATTTCATTTGTTCCTCACAACAGCCATGTGAGATAAGATGCTATTGATTTTATAGATGAAGAAATTGGCTGAGATGTTGCCCAAGGTCGAGTAGCTAGTGTCAGAGGCAGAATTTGAATCCAGGTACTCCTGATTCCAAATTGAGTGTTCTTTCTACTGAACCAGGATCCTGCTCTACCCAGGCCCTCGTCTTAAGGTGCTTGCTCCCAAACCCCACTTCAAACCTCTACTCCCCTTTTAAAAAGGGCATAAAGATGGAAGATTTGTGTGTAGGTTTAAGTAAATGGCTTGTTGGAACAGGCACTATAACATAAGAGCTACAGGGAAACCAGTAAGTAGCCTAACTTTTTCAAGAACTTCTGAAAGATGCTGATTTATTCACTATTGTAATAGTCCAGGCAAGAGGTGGTGATGATCTGAATTAGGTTGGTGACTATGAGTGGACAGTATGTATAGGAAAGATGATGTAGAGAAAGAAATTACACAATGTCTTAGCTGAGTTGATAATATGGGGTCCTACGTTCCCAAAGTGGGTGATACCGTCCCCTGTGGGGCGCTGGACAATCCAGGGGGGTGGGTAGTAGCCTTAGATGATGCAAATTTAAACAAACCATTAGAGGGTTAAAGAAAGTAGATTTGCAGAGAAGTGCTAATTTTTTTTTTTTAAAGGCAGTAAGCCAAGTAAGTTTGGGAACCGCAGCATGGAATGAATGAGAGTAAGGAACTGAGGATGACGCTGAAGCTGTAAACCTGGATGAACAGAAATATGGTAGCACTTTCAATAGTATTAAGGATGTTTGGGAAAGGGAGAATTGGGGGGGCGGGGGAGATGAGTTCTGTTTTGGATTTGTTGAGTATGATGTGGCTATGGATCACCCAATCTGAATCATCCAACAGACATGATGTCAAGAACTCGGGAGACTAGGGTTAGATAAATGATATATAGAGATAACGGAATCCATAAGAGCTTATAAGATCTTAAGTACTTTATAAATATCTCATTTGATCCTTACAATAACCCTGGAAGGTAGGAGCTATTATTATCATCCACAATTTACAGCTGAGGAAAATGAGGCACTCGGAGGTTAAGTGACTTGCCTAGGGTCACACAACTAGTAAGTGTCCAAGGCCAGATTTGAACTCAGTTCTTTCTCACTCCAGGCCCAGCTCTATCCACTGTGTCACTTAGCTGCCTTTAATGATAAAGAAAAGTGGGCCCAGCAGAGCCATGAACAACACCCACAATAAGTGGCCATGACATGAAGATCCAGCAGAAGTCTGATGAATGGTTAGATATACCAATATATAGCACTGAATTAAGGGTAGTTTAATTGATGTAGACTGAAATTAAGCTAAGGGCACCTAATTAAATAAGGGCAAAAAAATATTAACAGCAATCTAGACATAACACCATTTATACCATCATTTTATTCATAAAATTACCTCTTTGCCTGCCATAGCCTAAATAGGCCCATTCAAAGTTCTCCAGGTCACCTGCCAAGACTGGGTGAACAACATTGTAGTTCCTGGAATATCCCAAAATACGTCATCTCTAACAAGGAAGCAACTAAATTGGCACATAAATGTGCTCCTGGAGTGATCTTGTGATAAGTACCAAAACAGGAATACAATAGAACCACTGTTCTGGATATACATTCTAGCTGGAAGTGAGTTGGTCTATCAACTGGATATTGCCATTGTTTTGTTCTCTAGGAAGACATTTCCATTCATTTACTATTTCAATGCTCACATAGCCAGGGCAGCAATAAAAAAAAGAAAAAAGGGGGGATGGACAATATATTTGAAGACAGGAATCAGTAAAGTTTTGTAGTTTCTGAGTGCTTGCTTCGCTTCATCATCCTCTTGAAAAAAATAGCCAAAATGTCTTAATGCCTTGATTTCAATTTTATCAATGTTATTCATAACCAAGTGGCAGTTTTCAGTTCTACGTACCCAAAGCTAAAAAGTTCTAATTGAATACTAAATCAATTTCCCATTCCATTCAAAAACTACTGAAGGTGGGCTTCCACAAAACTCTGTGTTTAGTATTTTTTCTGTGAAACTCAGTCGGATTTTATTTTTCAAAGCAACAACTCACACTTGTGAACACTTTTAAGTTTTGGAAGGTTCTTTCTAAACAGCCTGTAAAGTAGTAAGTGGATAAAGTTAGTATTGGGCTCATTCTCCATAAGTCTGGTCCAGACTAGAACTGACTGCATAGTTCTTTCAGGAAAGCTATAATGATAAGACACTCCTTTCTATCAATAGCAGACACTAGAAAAAGAAAAGAACATACCAAGTGTGCATATGTAATTAACCTTAAAGCAAAAACTAATAAGTTGCATTAAAAAAGAGGTACATATATGTTACTATTATAGCAAGAGCTAGTTCATGTGTATTTCATTAGCAATTGATTTATAACTATTATGAACAAAATATGTAGCCTTTAATTCAACTAATGCCAACTGAGCAAATCTAAAAGAAATGATAGTCTGGAGAAATAAATATCAAACAAAGCAATCCTAAAAAGGAAACATTCAACATAAAAGAGAAAAAAAAAATTTTATTAACAAAAACCTGATCATTCTAATGGCAGCTTCAACTTGGCTCTTCACTCACAGACCTCTTTTCCTTCATTTCACAAGATGAGTTGACTCACTTCCCCCAAAATAGTGATCAAAAAGAATTTCTACCACCTTGAGAGAGAACATTCCATTGGTCAGGTACAAAATTTAATTGCAAGTGTCAAACTAGTCCAGAAAAACAGCTGATATGCATATGTTGGTATATTAATGAAAAGGGTACAAACACATTATGATCAGCTCATACAGGCTTTCAGGTAATGTTGAGGCTACAAATCTGATGCTGGATATTTATGTTAAATATGTCAAAAAAAAAAAAAGATAGTGCAATCACATTTGTCTTCATTAATAACGGAGCCAAACTTATGATTTTCCAGATCACTTCTAGTTGAACAGGAACAAGCATAGTCTAGAATGGGTAGACTACTATAGCAGAGAAAAGGTAAACAAGTTTTAAAGTTGGGAGTTGTAAGGATATCAAAGCAACTCAACTACTTTTTTTGAGGTCATATTTATTACAACTCCCAAACTGTTCCTCCAAAAACAAAACAAAAAAAACACACCATAATTCATGGTTTTGAGGTAAACTTGAATTCACTTTTATATAATTTGTTAACCAATTTGTCATCCTTTAAAGGAATATCGATGTTTAACCTGTAAATTATATACAATTTCTCCCAAACAAATGATAACAACACTGAGATGATAAATTAATGAGGATACAGCCTTGTAATGGGAAAATGATGCTACAAATGTTTTTTATTTTAAACCATAAAGTTATGCAAAGTGTTCTAGAAAGTGCAGCATGAACTGGGATCACAAAACATGTATCTGTATAGAAATCCTTTGGAGAAAAATTAAGTTCTTTTATTAAAAAAAAAAGTTTCTTGTTCTGCATGTTTAAGATTTTATGATTTTAAGAATCATAATCTCCAAAAACAAATAGTAGCCAATGAGTTATTTATTACTACCCTTACCTCAAGGACTTGGTTTTTGGTCCTGGCCTGTAATTTCATCTGATGCAGATAGGGCCATGCATGCTCTGCAACTTCTAGAGTCACAGGCAGCTGCCTAGGGGCACCAAGAGGTTGAGTGACTTGCCCAGGGTCAAATAAACTGGCAATGAACCCAATTATTTTCAAAGGAAGATGGGATGTGACTAGGCAGTTTCTCCATGCAACGTTTCAATGCAGTTAGGGCCTGGAGAACTTTTACTGGTATAACAGAACAACATATAATCCCCCCAAATCTCACAATTACCTCCCTACCCCACCCCAGAGTACATACACTCTCTCTCCTCCATTGCTGTCTTTGGCAATTGCTTAAAAATCCTGAAAGCAAAAGTCTGCTCGAGTGGAACAAGGATATAAAACAATTTTAAGGGTTTGCAACACAACCTCAGCCTGTGTACTGAGGAGGAAAATCCCAAAGGGAAGACTAAATGGTTTATATCAATCTGCTCACAAGGGAAAAGAGCAAGAATCTGAAACCAAATGGCAGGGATCTGTTTCACTCCTCTGACCCTTTCTTCCCATCTCTTTGCTTAGAGAGGGTTGTTGGGGCAAAGAAATTTCAAACACTGAAAGGTAGTGAGTGATTCAGGAAGAATTGGAGGACGTAGCAGATGAAAGAATTCTCAGATGAAGGCAGCAGCACCATCTTTAACTGTCAATGAGTTTCTTTGCTCTGGCATTGGCAATATCAATACGATCTTTGTTAGTATCAGCCTGAAATAGAGAGGGAGCGGAAAAGTCAAGTACAACGTGAACATGAAAAGCCACTTGAAGGAAATGTGCTATTCTTGTTTCCCAGTTCAAATCTTTGCCAGAGAGGTACGGAACAGATTTCTCTTGAAAAAGGCAGCATACTGTCACCAAGCATATATTCTTGAGTGTTTCCACAAGGTCTCAGGCTTACCCCTAGCCTCAGGGGTTTCAACCTCAATGCTTTTACTCCTACTTTTTTCCCCAGTGGAAAATGCCCCTGTCCCTTTCTCTCAATACAAATCCTATCCTCTCATCAAGTCCCTTCTCCTTCCTTTCCTACTTAGCCCCCACTTCTCCAAAGACCTGTAGGACTTACATCTGAATCATATAATTTGGCCCTTGATTATATGCTGTTAATTTTATTTATAATTGTTATTATTGCCTACCCATCAAACCCTTATGCTGTTAAGATGGTATCTTAATGGGATCCTCCCATAACACCCCAAAACAAAGCCAGGGATTCAATAAATGCCTGAGTGACTACTATGGAAGAAAGGGGACAAGAGAAGTTATGAGGATCTTACCTTCTCAGTGATTCTGTCTATTTGCTTGTTCTGAGAGTCAATCTCATTGCCCATGTCTATGGCCATGGTTTTCAAGTTCCCCAGGATACTGCCCACCTGACACAAATTTTCTTCCATTTCATCCTCTCTGGCATCATTAGTTATCCTATCATGGAGACAATTAAATGTTACCACAGGATTTGTGGTATGCCCCAAAAACCTGTATGACTGCCAGAACTGGCTTCCTGACAATGAGAAAACAACTTTTCATTTTCAAAAGGAGCCTAACTGACTGCATCCTCAACACTCTTTGACATCAGTGATCTTTTCATTATAGATGAACATTAAGTAGTGTATATTAAGTGAGTGATCTTTCTGAAAGATTAACAGTGAAACTCAAAGAACTAATAGATAAGAGTGCAATATCTGATATGTATATATGTAGTGAAAAGCAAATTTCTAACATAGCTACCTTAATGCCATTTAAGAACTCATGCAAAGTTATTCTAGTAAAGAAAGGAAACTCAATGTCCTGAGTTAAAAGACATGAAGTTACATGTAATTGGAAAAATTATTAAAAAAAAAAAACAAGAAAAAAATAAAAGAAATGTGGAGAGTTGCTGGGAGGAATAGATCTACCGTTTAATGTATCCACCACTGGCTCCTCCTGCAGCTGTTTGCTGAGGCTGACCATTTGTCATACGGCCTGGCTGCTTAGAAACCACATTACCAGGTGAATTTTCTCCACCTTCAACCCATGTTGCCTTATAGTCCTTGCGAGACTCGAAATTTCCTGACCTACACAAAAAAAGTGAAGAGATACCAAGTCACGTTGAGAGGCAATTAAGTGAAAGACTCCACATCTTGTTTAGTTTGCCCTATCATTGGTACAGCCAAGTAGAGTGGCATTAGAGTATACTTGACATTCCATTAAAATGAACATTCCAAGCATTTAACATTCCATTATAATGTATAAACATGTCATTCACAGTTCTCATGAGAATCCACAAGCTGTGAAGGGAGATGACTTAACTCTGAAAGGTTGGGTTAACCAGTGATGGGCTTACCTCTCAGTTAACTACCCTGAAGATCAATCACCCTGGCACATGGTAGAAAAAGTGAAAACTGTTAAGACTAGACTATCTAGACCATCTACAATATGAAACAGGAAGAACAGTTAATAGGAAAGTTAAAGATAATGCTAACACTCAATTTCAACTTTCTCTCCACCAAACTTTAATTGGAACTAATAACAAGTGATATAATTGACTGGTTTGTCCTTCACCTCTGTTGAGGTATCTTCAGGAGATATTAAATGAGCCCCCAACATGGTCATGGAATCATCTAATATTTCAGCTGGATGAGTAGCCCTGATAAACGAGATAAGTCCAAAATGTACAGACTGCCAAGCAACAATGGATGAGGAAATGGACCAGACTGTCATTTGAGTTAATTCAGCTTCTTCATTTTATATTTTACATAAAAAGAAACCATTTTATATAAGAAAACCTAAGGCTCAGAGAGGTTACGACTTGCACAAAGTTATTCAACTTATCAGTAGCAAAATTTAAGACTTGAAACCAGTAATGGGCTTGAAACCAGGATTGACTATCAGTTCAATGTTCTTTTTCACTACACCAGGCTTCCTTTCATGGGTGAGCAGATACAAGTAATGAATGGTGTGAAAAATGTTTGCAAGCCTTTAAAGCACGGTACAAATGCTAGTTATTCTTATTAATCCCAAACTGGATGATAAGTCAATGAATCACGGAGTTGGCTATACTGCTAACGCCAGTTACAAGGGATAAATTATTTGGCTGAAGTTTTTTGATGTAATAACTTATTTTTCCTGATCCTATTTTTCCCCCTAATCAATAAGTATTTCGTAAACACTGACTGTATGCCAGAAACTGTGCTAGGTGTCGGTGATACAAAAATAAAATAATTCCTGTCCTTGAGGAGTTCACATTTTATCCAATGATCTGAAAGCAAAATCTTTTATAAAACCACCTGTTTTAGAAGTGACTGACTGATAGTCTGCTCATCAAAGTATAATTTTAGTATACCTGCACCTGAGAATAATGAGACATAAGGTTTAATAAAATGCTAGTTAACTGGTGAAGCCTACAGAAAGGACTTTACAATAATGACTCATAACTAACACTAAAAACTTCCAAACCATTTGACAGGGTGAAGGAAAGGTTAAAATAGCTAGTATTTATATAGAGCAGAGATTCTTAACTTTTTTGTGTCCTGGACCCCTCTGACAGTCTAGCAAAGGCTACAGAATCCTTCTCAGAACTGTTTTTAAATGCACCGAATAAAAGACAAGATTACAAAGAAGGCCGATTATATTGAAATAGTTACCAATTTTTTTTAAGTTCACAGACTCCAGGTTAAGAAATCTTTTATAGTTTCAAACAGCTTTACATGGGTTATCTCATTTAATCTTCCCAACAACCCAGCAAGGTTCTGTATACACTGTTTGAGGTTTTGCTTCGTCTAAAGAAATGGAAGTTTCTGAATACAGTTTAGGCCTCTTTGGTATATTCCAGATTATTTTCCAATAAGGAAATTTTTAAATGGCATAAGCAGAGAAGAGATTAAGACAGTATAGTGTATCTAGTCCTAAATGAACAATTTGGGGTCCATTTCTGACAGAACTATAATTTTATCTTAAATGGATTATACTCTTTATGCCTCAGTACAATGGGTTCTGTTTTAGAATAGTATGAAAAAAGTGAATCAAATATTTTAAAAATATCAAGAATTAAAGCTTGAAGTATGTATCTATATGCCAATTTTCTTTAGGAGTTTGACTAAAACAGTAATTTTGATCCTCTTAAAGCCAAAATTATTAAGTACAGTACTATCCCTCTTAAAGAAGATAAAGTCCAATGACAGTCAGAAACTTTATAACAGGAGGTATAAATAATATAGTAAGCATAGGAATGTGGGGAGAATATAGCATGAACAATTATTAAAAACCAAAATAATTTAAAATGTGGCAGAAAACATAATATGTATCTGAGCATCCTGAGGTTGCGTCAAACCTGGGGAAGATAAAAGAGGTGCCTGTTTTAAGGAAAGGAAATGTAGAAAGACTAGGGGCTAGAAAAGCCTATCGAGATGGAACCAGGGTACGGTCCAGATCAATGATTAAAAGACACAGGTTTCTCTATAACTCCCTGACCCTCCAGCAGCTTCAGCCAACTTCTCTTTCAGAGTAAGGAGTCATCTATGGGGAAAGAACATGTAACCTTCCTTTCAGCCTCAAGTAAATTTATAAGAACTAAATCTGTTTTACCTTCACAAAGTCATGTCAGTGAAACAATACACATTTACTTACTTAAATGTGTATTGACTGACCTCAAAGCTGGAAGGGAACCTTAGAGATTATTTAGTTCAACCTGTAGTTGAATAACAATCCCTTCTAAAATATTCCCAATGTGTGGTAACTCAACCTATACCAAAGGACCTCCTGTGGTTGGAAACTTACTATCTCCTGAAGCAACTCATTCCACTCTTAAACAACTGACTGTCAGGAACTTTTTTCCTTATATTGAACCTAAATCTGCCTCTGCCAATTTTCAGTGTCAACTGAGTAGACCTATTATAATCTGCAGGACCCATCTCTATTATGCCTCTACCTCTGAATAAAAGAGTCTCTCTGTCCTGCCCCTCATTCCCTTACCAAAGACTAAGAATTCTTTTAACAAGGTAATGTGTACCCTCAAAATGGAAACATGTGGCTTCCTAACCTTCAGAATTCCAGTTAAAATGTAATCAATCAATCAATAAGTATATCAGGATCATGGCATAATTTCTTGAATTCTCATAAAAAGGGAGGAAGAGGAAGTTGCTGAAGAAGAATCTATTAAGGACTTTAAGGGGATCAAAATATACCATTTCAATCAAGCTCCTAAAGAAAATTGGCATGTAAAAACGTAGTTCAAGCTTTAGTTCTTGATATCCTTAAAATGATTCTTTTTTTTAAACTACTGTAATTTTTTAAAGTAGTTTTTATTTTTATTAATCATTTATTTTTAGCTTTCTTTTCCCGTTAAATTTTGACTTCCATATTCTCTCCCTCTCTCCCACTGCTTCCCCCACCCACTGAGAAGGCAATGTATTATACATATGCAATCATGCTAAACATATTTCCGTATTAGCCATACTGTAAATAAAGTGAGAGAATTATACTTCAATTTGCACTCAGAGTTCATCAGTTCTCTGGTGATGGACAGCATTTTTTCATCATGAGTCCTTTCAAACTGTGTTGCATCACTGCACTGATCAGAGTAAGCCAAGTCTTTCACAGTTGATCATCATTACAACATTGCTGTTACTGTGCACAATGATCTGGTTCTTCATTTTGCATCAGTTTATATGGGTCTTGCTATGTTTTTTCTGAAACCACTTCTGTTGTCATTTTTTACAGCACAATAGTACTCCATCCCAATTAGATGCCATACCTTGTTCAGTTACTACTCAACTGGTGAGCATCCCCTCAATTTCCAATTCTTTGCCATCACAAAAATGACAGATACAAATATTTTGTTCATATATGTCCTTTTCCTTTTTCCTTGATCTCTGAGATACAGACCTACTAGTGGTGCTGCTAGGTCAAAGGGTCACAGTTTTATAGCCCTTTGGGTATAGTTCCAAATTGTTCTCCAGAATGGTCAAACCAGTACACTATTCCAACAACAGTTTATTGGTATACCTATTTCCCCTCATCCTCTCTAGCATTTATCATTTCTTTCTAGGTGTGAGGTGATACCTCAGAGTTGTTTTAATTTGCCTTTCTCTAATCAATAGTGATTTAGAACATTTTTTCATAAAACTATAAATAGCTTTGATTTCATCTTCTGAATAGTGCCTGTTCATATCCTTTGACCATTTACTAATTAGGGAATGGATATTATTTTTATCAACTTGTCCTGATTCTCTATTTATTTGAAAAATGTAGCCTTAATCAGAGAAATTTACTAAAAAAATTTTTGATATTACTTCATTGTCTATGGTACCTTTTAGCAAAATTTAGTTTCCCTGATTATCTCTTTTAATTAGGTCTACTTTGCTTTTGTTTTTGTCTAAGATCATAATTGCTACCCCTGCCTTTTTCAGTTCAGGTGAAGCATATTAGATTCTGCTCCAGCCCCTTATTTTAACTCTTGTGTGTCTCTTTCTGTCTCAAATGTGTCTGCTGTAAACAATATATTGTTGGATTCTGGTTTCTAATCCATTCTGCTATCTGCTTCTGTTTTATGGATCAGTTCATCCCATTAACATTCACAATTATGATTACTTTGTATTTCCCTCCATCTCATTTTCTTCTGTTTCCTCTCTCTTTTTACCCAGTCTCTCCTCAAAAATCTACTTTGCTTCTAACCACTGCCTCCTTTAATCTGCCTTCCCTTTCATCATCCCTCCACCCCCACATTTCTCTTATCTGCTTCCCCTCCTATTTCCCTATTGGGTAAGATAGATTTCTATACACAACTGAGTGTATAGTCCCTCTTTCAAAGTCCCTCTTTGAACCAATTCCAATGAGACCGAGCTTTAAGATCATTCCAACATAATCAATTCATACCCATGCCCTCTATGTAAACTCCTTTTAATTGCCCTAATCATGATAAAGTTTTTAGGAGTTACATGTATCATGTTTCCATGTTGGAATATAAACCGTTTAACCTTATTGAGTCCCTTAAGTGATTTCTCTTTCATGTTCATCTTTTTATGCTTCTCTTAAGTCTTATGTTTGAATATCAAATTTTTTCTTCAGCTCTGGTCTT